TTAGAAGCCGAAATAATCCTCTCATCCTTTAGGCTGGGGTGGGATACTTGTCTCAGCAATGGGAAAACTGACCAACACAGGGGCCACAGACAGAGAAGGCAGGTGGCCTCCAGAAGCTAGAAGAGGCAAAGAACTTCCACAAGAGACACAACCTTACAGATCCATTTTACTTTTTTTTTCACTCAAAACTGTAAGATAGGGCTCGGGGACATAGCTCAGCGGTACAGTGCCTGTCTGCCAAGTGCAGGATCCTGAGTTCAATTTCCGATACCAAAAAAAATTTTTTTAAATAATGTGTGCATTGTTTTGCTGGGCATGGTGATATATGCCTATAATCCCAGCACTCAAGAGGCTGAGGCAGGAGGATTGTTGTGAGTTTGAGCCAGCCTAGACCACAAAATGAGTTCAAGATCAGCTTGAACTGCACAGTGAGACCCTGTTTCAAAAAGACCAAAAAAAAAAAAAAAAAGAACTGGACAGGAAGAGGGGCCGTTGGTTCTCCTGGAGAAGCTTGCTGTGCTGGTTTTCTTGATATGAACTCGGCTGTTCTCATCCTTGTTGTCACTCAGGATAGCTCTGGGCCTCCAGCTGGACTTATGGGAGGGACTGTCATGGGCTCTAGGTCTTCAACTGGACTCATGCAGGACACTGAAATGGGATTCAGGCCCTCAGCTGGATTCTTTCGGTCTTTAGTGTGTGGACAGATTTCCTGCACTCTTTTGTATTCGACTCTCTGGGTGACTATTATAAATAATCCTATAAATTATGTGCCTGTATTACATTGTTTCCCTTCTAAACCCTGACTACAATAAGCAGCAATGGAAACTAAAGAAAAAATATAAGAGACACTCCGAAGACTAAAGTCTTGATAGTAGAAGCAAACAGCACACTTTCAGATAAACGTTTATTTCTATACACCAGAAAGTCTCTCTGTGATCTCTAGCTTCAATTGTATACTGAATTCTATACTTTAGGTTTCAATGAATGACGACAGCTAAAGGGACGAAATGAAACAGAACACAAGCACAGGTACATGACTGTGATCTCAGAACACTGGACAGCTGAGGCAGGAAAATCACATTTTGGGTGCAGCTTGGGCAACTTAGAGACTCAATGAGAACCTGTCTCAAGAAAATTTAAACAAGGAAAGTCTGGGGCTGTAGCTCAGTTCAACGTCCCTGGGCTCAAGGCGCTGGGGATATAGCTCAGTGGCACAGCGCCTGACAAGAAAGTCCCTGCATTCAACCCTCAGTACCACAAAATTCTAAAAATTTAAAAAATTTAAACTTGGAAAGGAAAAGGACTCCTTTTACCAAAATAACAAGGAAAGAAACTTTATTACTGGTACACTTAAACTATGAATTGAAGAGTGTAAATTATTTATCCATACTTGTTTCCCAGAATCAGAAGTACTATTTACTGAATGACTACTACGTGCCAAGTATCAACTATTTATCAAAAGGTTGCAAGACAAACTATCAACAACTAACAAAGGAAAAAAGGTGCTAAAACACCTAGGACTCAGAAGCCAATATATGTGACTCAAACATTACCCTGAAGAGACCCCGCGGGAACCACTTCAACCAAGTGCTGAAGACCATATGACTCACAGTCAAACATGCCAACATCACCATCGTCAACCCTCGACGTGACCGACCTCGGAGGTCACACAGCCGCTCTGCATTCTTCCCAACAATGCAACAACTCAGTCAAATCACCACAAGACAAAAGACAAAGTGAGTAGTGTCAAAAAAAATCTCACCAATACTATTCAAAACATCAAGATTACGAAAAAGGAGTAAAAACCAGAGAACCGTCACAAATTGGAGAAGAATAAAGAGACTTGGAAAAACATAGTGTGGAATCTTAGATTACATCGTGGACAGAAAAAAAAAAAAGGCCATTAATCAAAAACTAACTTTGTGCATGATGGCACACACCTAAAATCACAACACTCAAGAGGCTGAAGCAGGAGGATCACTGTGAATTTAAGACCAGCATGAGCTACATAGTGAGTTCAACACCAATCTAAACTACATAGTGAGACCCTGTCTCAAAAAAAAAATGAACGTAGGATACTAAGTCTGAAGATTTATTACCAAAGTTTGGTAATGCTATTGTACAGAAGCCATTTTTTTAGTTTTGATCATGTACTGTGTGGCCTCAAAACAAAAAAATTAAGCAACAAACAACACTGCACTGCATGCTTCTACTGGAGCAACACATCTGTCTATCTGACTCAGGATTATAGTTTATTCAAGACTAATTTCCAAAGCTTGAAAGCCTAGGTTCAGGTTCTGACTTGTTGCTAGCAGTGGCAAACACGGATTGAATATTAGCTAGGTTCCTAAACTGTCGAGCATCCCAGGCAATTCTTCCTGACCTAGGCTGGTGTCTAACACTTGATCTTTGACTCCTGCCTTGTCTGTATCACAAATCTAATCCCCCAGCCTGGTCTCCAGAATAATCTGCTCAATGAGAGAGCACATGAGTGAGGCTCTGTGTGTAAAGACAAGCAGACGAGTCAACGAAGTAATCTTAGAACATATTCTGCATGCTAACACTATCTTGTCACACTTGCAAACACATCCTTGGAAAACACAAACACAATGGATCTCAATACGCAACATCACGGCCTAAAACTTAAAACATCCAACAGAAAACAAAAAATAAGACTGAGGTAATTTTTCTTTAAAAAGTACAGAATTTTTTAAGAGTTAGGTTATTGTTTTCATTTATTGCAGCAAAGTAAATGAAACTACTTGCTGCATTATTACTCAAGGATGATTGCTGGTAAAGGGTGACTGAATTATGTACACGACTTAGCAAATATTTACTGTTACGACAAGGATTCTTAGAAGGTGGGAGAAACCAACGTATCTTCAAATAATTTTACAGTCAATACTACCTAATACTGACAGATGTTTACCTATGTCCTTTACATTAAGATCAGCATGGTCTAATAGATGTAATGCAATCCAATGTAACTAAATTTTCTAGTGACCACTTTAAATTGTCTAGTTACTTTTCAAAAGTAAAAAAGTAAAATTAATTTTAATACTACATTTTGTTTAACCCAATCTATGCAGAAGTTATAATTTTAAAATGTAGCCAACTATTAAAAAGTGTTGGCCAGGCGTGGTGGCACACCCTTGTAATCTCAGCACTCCAGAGGCTGAGGCAAGAGGATTGCCACAAGTTAGAGGGCCGCGCCCGGGTTATAGAGTGACTCCAGGGCCAGCTGGACTACATAGCAAGATCCTGTCTCAGGAAAAAAAAAGTTATCTTTTGTGGGGCTTGGACTATAGTCCACTTGCTTAGAACAGTGTAAGATCAGGCTGCAGCTTATCAAAGAAGAATATAAGTTCTAAGTTGTAGGGTTCAACTTTAATTCTCTCTTACTAATAAAATTCAATGATTTGGTCCACTTGGAAATCAATATATTCTGCTTTAACTCTTTAAACAAATCTCAGCGAATACACTACAGCTGCTAAGAGAAGTAAAGACTAAGAATAATAAACTGAAAATTCCTTTGAATTGTAAGTTTTGAGTGTTTTTAGTTAAAAAGGATATATACTTTACTGCTCTCATAAACATCAAATACATTTTCAAAAAGCAAACAGGGGAAAATGAACAGGCATATATCATGAACAATGTTTAAGCTCTATAATCAGACCAGAGCAAAATTAAAACAGGTCAATCAAAATCCAGTTAAGAGTCAATGGGTGGTTAGGGGCTGGGGATTTAGCTCAGCGGCAAA